CAACCTTACATGAGCTATTTCTAGAGTCTGTCTACATGGTTGCTCTTATGATATACTGGTAGCAGTTAGTTCCTTCCCTTCAAAAGCAGCACACTTGTAGCTTATGCCAGCTCCCATGGTATAAATGCTATGATTTGACCAATTTTAAGCCGACAGTTTCAGGTTACTGAGTACAGACTTAGGAGGAGGTGCACTGGTTTGTCCAGCAGCTCATGACTTTATAAAGCTGTTTATAGGAAATAGAGCTGTAAATAATTTCAAAAGCACATGTATTGGTCAGATAATTCTGAAGTGGCAAATTTGGAGTGTTTATTACTTTTTAAATTTAGCTGTAAGTTGTGTATTTTCATTTTTAGTAATGACTGTATTTAACATCTGACTTTCAAAAATGCTTGAAAATGTAATAATAAGTTCCCAAATCTAGCTGGTTCCAATGTGGTGTAATACTGGGTGCAGTATATCATGTGTTGTAGGTTATGCAGCCAATGTGCCCTCACAGTATTTTATATACTATGTTTCCTGTGCTTTTGTGTACTCAGCTTCACTCTCCCGAGCACTGAGTGTCTGTAATATATTCGCTTAGAAAGTTTATCTGTACTGGTGTGTGAAAGCCCTCTGTTTTGAGCATTATTTAAGCCCAAGATTGAAATTTTGTTTTTGTACAGGCTAGAAAACAGATGAACACATACATTATCAGATTGTCTCTTTGTGAGGCCTTTCTACAAATAATGCACACTGCAGATGCTATTGGTCTTGAACCGTTATCATAACATATGTTCCTGCTCAAAAGTAGCAAATGTGCCTCTTTTCTGAAATAGATGGTGTATGAGCCCTCATACACATATCTTATGATCAGGGTCAGCTGTAGAGGAGCCAAAGCACTTCCACGCCAAAGGAAGTGTTTCTATGCCAGTAGCTTTAGCCTGATTCAGATAGGTCTGTTTAGAGTGGGTGTATTATTTCTGTCACTGTTATGGTCATCATTGCCCTGTCCTCATCATCATTATCAATATAAGCACTGTTTATCAAGAGCCATCATGTGCATCTCACTGTGACAGGCACCATGCAAATCAAGTGGCATCAATGATCCCATGAAGGTCAAGCCCAGACACAAGCAACAGCATTAGGTACCGCATCCCTGCCATTTCAGTGTAGGAGACAGGATGTGTGTTGGGATGGAATTTGAGGATGGTTAGGCTGCAACTTTCCCAGCATTCCCTGCAGGGCATGGAAAGGAAATGATGCCACACTAGGTGATGAGAGGAGGTGAAGCTAAGCAGTTTTTGTGAGCCTCAGAATTCATTGGTTGAGGAGTGTGTGTGGAGCAGTAATGAGATTGGGGAGGAGGGAGGAAAGTGAGGGAGAAAAGGATGGACAGCAAGAAAATGAGAGAGGCAGAAAATATTGAGACAAAGGGAGAGAGACAGACAAGTACAGAGAGATATGGAGAGTGACAGACAGAGAAATAGAAGGAAGAAGAAACAGAGAGAGAGGGCTGGACAGAGAGATAGAGAGACAGACAAGGGACAGAGACAACAAGAAAGACAGAGGAAGAGGAGAGAAGAGACTGGAAGAACAAGAGAAAGAAAGGGAGGCAGAAGAGGAAGTGAAGCTCAGAAGAAGGAAACTGGGAAGTGGCCTCAAGGGGACACAAAAGGGGTGTGAGGACACCTCTAAGCCCTGGCCTCCATCAAGCCCCTCTGGTCTGTCCTGTCTCCTCCTACCATCACTATGTCTAGCAAGGAGGAGCTAAGTGGGTGCATGGTGTGAACTGGTGATGTGAACCCCCCTGGTGCCAGGGGATTGATTCTTGGTCTCTGTGTAGCTAGCTGGAGCAGAGACATTACTGTTTCCTACAGCATTTCCTCTGAGAAAAAGCTGAGTTGGCACACACTTTCAATCCTAGCACCCAGGAAACCAAGGCAGGTGAGTATCTGAATTCAAGACTAGCTTGGTGTCTACACAACCAGGATTTCAGAGACAGCAGGGTTGTACAGAAACACTTGGTTTTAAAAAAAATCTAAAATCCAGATCAAACTAAATAAACAAACAAAACTCCTAAATTACTACCACCATCACCACAATAGCATCACCACCACTACCACCACAACAGCTACAACAAAAATATCAAGAGAAACAGTCTAGAATGTTTTTCCATCCAGGATATCATTTGATTATCCTTGGAGATGATGTAACACAGACTTCTGCTGTTTTTTTTTAAAGGGGATTTTATTAAAAAGATAAAGCCTTGTCTTATGAGCATTACCATCAATAGACTTGCCAGCAACCAATATAAGGTGGGTTTTGTAGCCCCTGTTTAATTTACTGTCTATTGATGTTAAGATCCCAGAGACAAGATTTCATTTCTGTAGCATTAATTTACTTCATTTTTCTGGAGAGCCATAGAATTAACTTAGAAAACTAGCATTATTTGAGGGTATCAAGAGGATTTTTGTTAAAGTGAAAATTGCTGCTTTTTTCCCTTTCACTCCAAGAGCAGATGAAAATATTGTAGAGAGGAATACATTTTCTCTTCAAAGATGAGCTGCTTGAAGACTATAGGTTGTTCCCGGCAATGCAGAAATCAGTGCTTTGATTTACGGTCATTTAGCCCTCTCCTTGTTCTGCCAAGCCAGGGGCAATCAAAGCCAGGGCCTAAATGGGTCTCTTTTTCTATAGCTACTTGGTAATTTCCCATGAGAATTTGGAATAACTGTCGATAGAGGCTCACGTTTTCCAAGCCCTGTAGCCTCAGAATCCTCAGAGTAGGGTAGAGAAGGAGACCTGGGGTGCTGGCTTCTGGACTTTGGGGTGGCACTTTGAACTGTTTGGTGTCTGATGTTCCCACCTTGAAATGTGAGAAGAACTTAAGCCTCATTGCCCCCTGGCTTTGTGTTCTCTTTAGTAGAGTAAAAGACACCTAGTAGAGCAGTCCTTCAGGGTGCAGAAGTTAGCATAGCTCAGTTGGTTCATGTACCTTTCTTGAGCACATAAGACACCCCAAGTCTTATATAGGTACTAGGCACACAGCCCAGTGCCTCCTGGGGTTTTAACTTACTGGAGGATCTCTTAGGGTTGTAGGGGACAGCTTGTCTTAGACTCTAGATCCTGTATTAGTGGGAGGAAGCTGAGGACTTTGTGTGTAAGATGCTTCCTGTTTTCCTTGGGTCCTTGGCCTTGATTTTCTCTTTAGCCTCTCCAGCTCTTCTCCATTCCATTCAAGACTGGAATTCTCATTTCTGAACTAGCTGCGGCTGCAGACACACCCACATAGGAAAATTTGGGGGCAGCAAAACTGTTGGGATATTTGGGTATGTGCTTGCTTAGAGACTACATTAGCTTAAAATGGCCAGTTCCTCTGTCCACTTAGTTTATAAACTACAGATCAGTGCACTTATCATGGATTCCAAATGAGCTTCTGATTCACTCAGTTTTAAAGATTTTTTATTTATTATTTACTTATGTGTGTGCATGCTTGAGTTTATGTTAGTGTGTGTGTGTGTGTGTGTGTGTGTGTGTTTATATATGTATATGCATGGCTGCATGTGTCTGTGCTTCCAGAGAGGCCAGAAGAAGATATAAGATCTCTTGGAGCTGTAATTACAGGCCTTTGCAATACTTCCAGCATTTTACATATTAATTTATTTATTATGTATACATTGTTCTGCCTGCATATATTCCTGCATGCCAGAACAGGGCACCAGATCTCATTACAGATAGTTGTGAGCCACCATGTTGTTGCTAGGAATTGAACTCAGGACCTTTGGAAGAGCAGCCAGTGCTCTTAACCTCTGAGCCATCTCTCCTACTCCCAGCATTTTTTTGTGGGCACTGGAATAAGAACTCCAGTTCTCATAATTTTGCAGCAAGAGTGCTTAACCACCAAGCTGTCTCCAGTGCACTCTTATTCTCTCTTCTAATCATCTTATGTTATGGTTGGGGTACCTTGGAACTTTATGACTCTTTCAGCCAAATTCAGGCTGCTACGACCCTTCACCTCAATGCATATATTGAAAGTATTTTCCAGACGTGGTTTATGGAACTGTTCCTGCAGTGTGTGGCATCTTTGAGGATCAGAACTGAGGTGGGCAAGGGGCAGGGAGTGGATTTTGGGCATGATGATGAAGCTAAGGGGAGTGGGGTGACTCACACCCAGCTTAGGCCTTTCTCAACCATCAGGAGTTGTGTAGGATGCTGAGATGCCCTTCCTGAAAATTCTGTCTCCTGTTTACCTAGATGAGAACAGCTTATGGAGGTGTTTGAAAAACCTTTGGTGCACAGTAAGAGATGTGGCAGAGAAAAACATTCTTTGCTTCACACTCAGTCCCTGGCAGTGATCACAGCATCCAGAGATGTCAAATCTAAGCTTATTTTTCCCCTTATAAAAATAATTATTACAATTTACATTGTAACAGAAGAAAAATCAATCATTGGGTCAGAGATTTTGAATGTTTGCTGTGTCAACTTGAAATTGCTAGGTATGTTCATTCAAAAGGTGCTTTTTCCTCAAGCATATGGAATGACAAATGGGTGGGGACCAGGACCATGGCTTCATTGGTAAAGTTCTTGCTGTTCAACCGTAAGGATCTGAATTTGACACCTCAAAACCCACATAAAGGCTCAGTGTGGTGGTGTGGGCTTGTAATCCCAGTGCTGGGGAGTCAAATACAGGCAAATTCCCCTGGGGCTCACTGGTCAGCCAGTCTAGCCAAATTGGTCCAGGTTCAAGGACAGACTCCATCTCAAAGGACAAAGTGGAGAATGACTGAAGAAGGCACTGAGCTTTGGCTTCTGGTCATCAAACACCCCCACATGTGTGCACTTACACAACATGCATCCACGTGTGAGACCAATGCCTCAGGCACCTGAGTCATTGATGACCAACACCATGTTTCTTTGAGTGGGTTCAATACGAAGATCTAGTTTGGACCTGCTGTTTTGTTGTCCTCATTGAGATCTATAGCTGATTTTTGAAACAGAACAACTAACTGGGCTCTTACCTGGCAATCTTGTCTGTGCAGGACATGGTGACTAGCTGCTCCCCCAGCAGGATGCCATCCCACGTCTGGACTGCACTGGGGCTCCGGACAGGGACTGTCCCTTCCCCAGACTCAATCTTGGTACGCAGGTGGCCTCGGAACTTCCTAACGATGTGTTTGGTGCTGTTCACTAGGAAAGAAGAATTGACCATGAAAGATGGCAGGGATAGTGGTCCAGAGACACAAGGGTTTGTTTGTGGAGGCAGAGAAAGACGTGTGACCGATTTAAGCAGCCCAGGCACAGGAGACAAGTCTTAGAAGTGAAGGCAGAGTGGAATTTACTCTTAACAGTGAAATGGTTAAGATCTGAGCTGCAGATTTAGCCTGGGATTGGCCAGATATCCTGTTAAGGGCAGAGGGCAAATGTCTCAGGGACTCTGGGGACCACACTGTCTCCATTTACCTTTTTATTTTCAATGTACAAAGCCAAAAGAATCAATCTAACACTCAATTTTTTGGACATCAAAATTTAAATGTGTAATTTTTATAAGTTGTGAATCATAGTCAGATCATAGTATGTACAGGTTCTGAAGCTATGTATTCAACCAACCGAGGTTCAAAACATTTGATTTAAAAATTGCATCTGTCCTTGTTATTATTCCCTAAGCAATATAGTACAGCAGTTATTTTTAAAAAGCATATCTACATTGTGCTAGGTGTTATAAGTAACCTCGCAGCGATTTAGAGCTTATGGGAAGATGTGATGGGTTATGTGTAAACACCACAGCAATTTTATAAGGGATTGGAGATGCCTCTGTGGGGAGTCCTGAACAATCCCCAGGAATACCCAAGGATATTGTATTTTTCTTTTCAGTTTTTCTGATTTGTTTAAAATAATCTTTACCAAACATTTAAGGATATAATGGTACCAGTTTTACATAAACTTTTCTAGGATGAACGAAAAGGGAAGAATAGTTCCCAGCTCAAGGTTTACATGGATGCAACCCAGAGGGGTAACTGTGAGAAAGAAAGGCATAGACCATAATGTTTCATATATGTAGATTCTAAAGAAAATTTTACAAATCATTTACAATCCTACAGGAGGGATAATTGCTCATGGTCTGGGAGGCTTAGCTCAGAAATGTCTTTTCACTTTTTTCCCAGCCACTAACAATTATAAAGCCACACCTAGCTTTCAGGTCATTAGAAACAGGTGTTGCCTGGGTTTTGCCTCTCAAGCTGGTCTAGATTTTAATCCTGGTGTCATTACTTACTAGCTGAGTAACTGTGGGATAGCTACTTAACGTCACTGTGACATGGGTACTTCCTCTTAAAATAGGGTCTTCAATGGTGTTTAGCCACTAGACTGTAAGAGTTGTGAAAGCCAGCAGGTCTGAAAAAGCTGGTGAAGTCTAGATACCCACAGGCAGAGGAATGAATAAAGAAAGTGTAGTATAGACAAGGAAGTTTATACAGCTATGAAGAAGAGCTAAATCTATACTTTTCAGGAAAGTAGATGGAACTGGAGGTCATCATTGATAATTAATATTGACTGACTCTGGTATCAATTAAAAGGCAAGCACACATCCATTCTTTATCTCTCTGTTCTGATTATGAATGTGACCAGCTCATTCAAGCTCCTCCCCCAACTTTCTTGCAGTGAAGGATTGGAACCAGGAGTTGCTCCTCCCTTGAAGCTTTCCTCCCTTGAAGTTGCTTTTATTACCTCAGTAGGAAATAAAGCTGGAACAATCATGCTAAACAAAATAAGCCAAATTCCCAATAAACATTGTGTTTTCTTTTATATGCAGAATCCAGATCTAAAAAAAAAAAATATGTAGCTCATGGAAGTAGAAAGGGGTTATGTGGGGGAACAAGAGGTAGTGATGTGGGGAGAGAGCCAAATATTGAACGTTTCTCCCTTATGAGGAAATCCAGATTTATATATATGGCAGAAAGAAGGGGAATTATTTGGAGGGAAGGAGACCAGTAGGATGGAAGAATGGAAGGGAGGATGAGAGTGGATATGAGCAAACTTCAATGATACAGATGTGTAAAACATCATTACAGAATTCACTATTTTGTGCAGCAATCACACACACACACACACACACACACACACACACACACACACACACACACACACAGGTTAGGGTTAGGATTAGGCTGTTGGGTCAGCTTATGGCCCATGGAAAGACAAACCAAGGTGATGAACTGAGCCTGGAAGCAATAAGCAAACGTGAATGGTACTACAAACTGGAAGATGCTGATGATGGCAGTGAAGATGGTAGTGACTGTGGAGGTATTAATGATAACAGTAGTGGTGGTATGGTAATCATGGTGGTGCTGCAACTGGTAGTGTGGATATGGTAATGGTGATGATAAAGGTGGCTGTGGTGATGATGACAGTGGAGATGATGATGAATATGACAATTATACTGATGATAAAACCAAACACAATGAAAATAGTTCATGTGACTCAAAAACACTTGAGATAACTTGGGTTTAAGTTAACACAATTCAGATGGGGGGTCTTTTCCAATATTAGCTTTCTGTGGCCGGTAACATTGGGAATAGGGAAGTTAGCAATACTCACAGCTTCTATAGTGTTGTCCAAAGATAAGGAACTTTACTATCCCACCTGGGAGGTAGATTTTTCAGGGGATATAGTACTTTATGTCCATATAGCTCTATCAATTACATGGTCCTTATATTCTCCAAAGATACTATGTAACATTTTCCAGGCCTTGAAAGTTGTCCATTATAGTTTAAAAGCTTTCTAAATTTTCACCATCTGTTAATGTCAAGCAATTAAAAAGCCTGGATTGAGTTACAATATTTTCTAGGAGTCAACTCAAAGTTTTAGGTTAGATTAATTTCTCCTCAAGAGCCAGGTGTGAGAGATGCACCTACGTGTGTTTTCTTTGCTGTTTCTAGTGTGTTCCCTGGTGAGTTTGCTTAGTTCCAGGGTGAACTGAAGAGCTGGTGAACTCCTGTAAACCATTTCCTTTGGCTCTGGATTTTTCTTGGCTAATTACAAGAGGCAGGAGGGAGTTGAAGATGCCACTTCAAGTATAATGAAATGCCAATCTAACCAGCAACTGCAGGGGATTGACTTTAAATAATCTGAAATGGAGTGAATGTGTGCTTGAAACAATGAAGATGTAGAACTTTAAAATCCTGCCTATTCTGTATGCATAGACAGTGCCAAGTTCATTAGAACTCCCTACTCTAATTCTTATACCCAGAGACCATCAGCTTCATTGTTAAGTTTATTAACTTTTTTGGATTGATAGTAAGGAAATTAGACTGGTAGTATGCTTTAGAAACTCTTCAGATGAATATTAATTTTTAGGAGGTCGGCTCAAAGGGTTGGTGAAACATAACTAATTAAATATTATGGTTGTTCCAATGGTATAACTGTGTGTGTGTGTGTTTGTGTGTATGTGTGTGTGTGTGTAGAGAGAGAGAGAGAGGAATATATATATATATATATATATATATATATATATATCAAAGTAAAAAATTAGCAACCTAACAATTTAACAAAAATCCCCAACCCCCAACAAAGGTATAAGAAAGGAAGAAAGTTGTCTTCAATTAACTTAATTTAGAATGTGTATTTGTGAGGTAGCCCATCATTTACTATAATAAAAATATCTACTAGTTACCATGTAGTTATGTAGGTGATCTGTTTTATTTATATTATGAGACTATGAAAATGTATTACAATGTGTAAACATGATCCTATGTAACATGTTTCTGTGACTCAGTAGGACATCTGAAGGTAGGAATTTAAGGATCCATGCTTTAGATCCCTGACTGTCTACAGGATTGTGGCTCAGTTTTGTACTCTGCCCTTTTACATAATGAATTTGCCCCTTTTATTCCCTGAGATGATTCCACTTACATTTTCATTTAATAAATATATGCATGGTCTTATGTGGCAACAGGAACCATAAATGAGAGAGAACATGAAGAAGAATGAGAGTATCTTTCACCTTGCAAAAGCATCAAATTAAGAATGAAAGTATCTCTCACCATGCAAAAACATCAAACCAAGTGGGTCAAAGACTACTGGATGAGACTCGACTCTGAAACTGTCAGAGAAAAAAAGCAGGTAAAAATACATCAAGATACAGCATAGTCAAGAACTTTCCAAACAGAACCCTAGTTGTTTAGGAAGTAAGGGCAACAGTTAACAAATGGGACCGCATAAAGTCAAAAGTCTGTACAGCAAAGGAAAGAGTTAAGGGAGTGAAGGGACAGCTCACATAATGGGAGAAAGTCTCTGCAGTTGTGCATCTCACACAGGTTTCATATCTAGGAGTGGCTTTTGCCTAAAATGGAACACATCTATCTGCCAGATTTCATTCCTTTGTGTACTCTTTGAGTTACTTCCTGCAGGAGTGGAATTTGGTTTTATAAAGAACAAGTAGGATATTTCCTTATAATTTCCTTGGCTTGTTGCCAAGTAATGGAAAACTATTTTTCTCCAAACTTTTGCTATTTACTTGGTGTTTTGCTTTGTTTTTATGAAATTCTGATGTGTTTAGCACATTTCCTATCAATAGTTGATCGGTCTCATCATTATCTTGTGCTAGAGGACCTGGCAGTCCTGTATGGTATCAGATATGTGATACATATATTTGTTTCCACCTTGATGGAACTTGGCCAACCTAGAACCACAGGGTGTCACAGGACTGAGCAGCTTTGAGTTTTCTGAGGGGAACACATGGCTCTGGTATGCAGAGGCTTTAGCTGAGGCAACTTTTCCCTTCGGCTGCATATAGCATATCAAGGTGATAGTCACGTGTTCTGCACAGAGCACTGTGTGGCCTTGGCAGATAGCCTGTCCCACTGTTTTCTCCTTACTGGCCTCTATACTAAAAAACAAATGACCTGGGTGGTCAGGGTGTGATATAAGGCAGTTCTAAGCCAGTGACCTGAAACATGACTGATGATATGATTCACCTCTGCTGCAACAGAATCTTGGCCAAGTGACAGGAACCAAAATTTGAAAAACTTTTAGGGTGATCTAATAGGTAAACCATGGTTGGAAACAACTGAACCCAGTATATTCCCAAGCTTGCAGACACCACACTTCCTTAAATATCATGAGCCATGTCATTTGATTCTGTACCTGAAGACTTTTAGACTATACAGATAGTGGGGTAAAAGTAAAACATG